AGTTTCGGATGCGAAGTGTTACTCCCGAAGTTTTTGCGTGCGGAATTGCGAGCGCGAAGTGCGCGGGGATTTTGCTTTGCGCAAGGAGAAGACACGCTGGAGAAGCATCGTGGCAGGTATGTGCTGAAGTTTTGCCCGAAAAAACGTGAAAAATTTCGTAACCTTTGTTTCTTCGTCAAGAAAATCCATTAAAATTTCAACGCATTCTCGGGGAGAAATTTGGTAAGGTCTTGTGACAGCCTTCCAACGCAGACGCCGCAGCTAAACGTCGTCAGCTTCAAGGGGTCCCCTTCTGTCCCTCAAGCAAAGCATGACCGCAGCCAAGTGTTACATGCGGTTGCTCTCGTGGGCATCCATTTGCAGATGGCTCTAAGCCATCATGTTCATAGAAATCTATGACTAAGCCCTGCACGAGGTCCCAGTATTATTCGAGAGAAAGAGCAGGCAGTCGATACTAAGTATGGCTCGTGGCATGTGTCCTTCCGACAGGCTTTACCAAAGAAACGCTGTAGGCCTACATGTTCCACGAAGTCCTTCGGTGGGCCTTCTGACCTGCAAATAGGATTAGCCCAGTCTTACGAAAGGCCCGCTCTATGGTAACTCCAGGTGTAGCAGCGCAGTCTTGGGAGCCATACGTCTTTCCAGAAATCTTAAACGAAATCAACAAGAAAGATCCACAACACAATTCTGGGAGCCTGCGCGGTTAGAGATAACACTGCAATTTCCATGTTCGCCTCCATTATCCCAATTTAGGCCCATTACTGGAGCCCCAAGCCCTAAACCCGCGGTTTGGGCTTGTCAATGATTTGATTAGGTGAAGAATATGGCTGGGCATTGGTTTCCTTAGGCTATCCTAGCGTAATCCCTCAGTTCTACCTGAACCCTAAATCTTAAACCCTGAATCCTAAACCCTAAACCTTGAATCCTAAACCCTAAATACTAAAACTTTAATCCTGCAATCTATCTGAAATAAATTCCTCCACATTGGGCATATACTGCCCCCGCTCTGAAACTGTTGAATGATAGTTATAATATAACTATATGTAGCCCTTAGTATGACCCCGAGTATAGACTGTTACAGGGAAGGGGCAGTACCTAACCCTAAGCCCTAAATAGTAGCTTTCATTTTCTTTTCCATTGCCCCTGTATAGCCCCTATACAACCCCCCTAGAGGAAGTACCCACCCTAAACCCCAAAAACCCTAAACCCTAAACCTTGAACCCTGAACCCTGATGAACCCTAAACCCTAAAACCCTAAACCCTAAACCCCCTAAACACCTTTTTGGGCCATTTGGGTCTTGCCGAGGTCTCCAATGGCTTTGATGCATCCATGAAGTTGGCAAAAAGAAGCGCTCCCAAGGCCCAGGCTGAGGAAGCTAACACGCTTTAGGGTTTAGGGTTTGGGTTTTTTTGGGTTTAGGGTTTAGGGTTTTGGGTTTAGGGTTTGGTTTATAGGGGATGTATGGGAATAGAGTCTAAACTCCTTAAGGGGGTTATGTAGGGTTTAGGATTTAGGATTTCAGGATTAGGGTCTAGGGTCTAAACTCCTTAAAGGGGGTTATATACAGATCATCTACAGGAGAATTATAGGGTTATTAAGAAGGATACTAGGAGTTTAGACTATAGCTTATATGTGGATATATAGGGGAATGGAAAAGCAAACAGAAACTATTGAAGGTTGCAGGTTGTAGGGTTTGGGATTTGGGGTTTCAGGGTTTGGGGTTATGTAAGGATTGAGGGCTTTGGGGATCATGCAATGGGACGGACAGGGCCTCATCCAAGTACAGCCTTTCCCCATGTCCCCTCCTTTAATCCCATAGTACGAACGGATAATTGGAGGATGTTGCTTTCCTTTTCCTGGCTCCTGCGAAAGACAGCTGACCGTTGAAGGGCTGGTCGTGCGGCTGTTATTGTCGCCATGCATGCCATCGTAATGATTTCACTACTTGTTGTCCATAACCAGGCGCCTGCCTTGACTGTGAAGATGAGCATGACTTCTGTTGACGATTGCCTCGACATTCAGTATCATTCTGAAATAGGGGCACGCCCGCACGAACCCGGAGAGTCAGCGATGCAGTACTGCAACTACTTACTTCAATCTTTCACCCGCAAGCAAACATTGGGTTCCAGGACATGCCGACGCTCTCAAGGAGGGGCATGACAGTTGGAGGCCGGGTGCTGCTGTGCTCTTTCTTGAAAGTTTGGGAGGTTTCCCCCCAGGAGTCAGGGCCTATGCCGCCACCTGAGATAGTGCTTCATCTAGGTGTCGCTTGGTTGGGTGGGTGCATGAACCGGCGGACGGGCGGATGGGCGGGCAGGTGAGTCTTTGCTTAGTCTTGCAATAGCCTACCGGTAATTCATATTAGGTAGGGACTTCTTGAATGACGCCTGTTGCCGGGAGCTCAATCCCACAAAGCCCTCCATGTCAGACCTTCAATCCCTACCGGATCTCTTGCTTATCTGCTTATCCAAGAAGATGCACGTTTGTTTTCACCCACAGGGCGGTATTTTGACAGGGCGGTATTTTGTCAGAGTCCTTGGACCGATATACCCCTTACCTGCATAAAGGTAAAAATAAATAGGAATCCTCTTTCACCAGAAGCTCCTTGCTGCAATTCCTACGTACCGCCTAACCTGGCAGGAATCATGCATATATATATATATACTTGTCGCCCAACAAATATGTTCTACACAGAAGCGCTTCAAAACCAGGGCTGCCCATGCCACATGTATGACTTCCAAAATCCTGTTCGTCGCCACGGTTTGGGCGACCTCTAGGATTTCCATCACTCGTGATAGTTCCTGTGGGCAGCCCTGCTTCGGCTCTTTTACAATGTCCACCCTCATCCCAGCAGCCTTTCCTCCAAATCACAGAATTCCTGTAGCAACGCCCGCAGGAGACGCTAGAATCCATCCCCGCATCCCGACAACTTGAACTTCAAATCTTGCAGGGTTGTTGCTGGAAAGCCTTGTCTCGTAAGGGTGTTTGGGCACTGCCCGACGCTTGCCCCTGATTCATTTATGGGCATGTGAGGTACAGACCGTAAAAACCTGGTGTTCGCTAGGCCCTTCGCGGCAGCCTACCACGCCAACCAGCACGCCTACTGCAGCCTCGAAGCATGGCAAAGCCTTCTCCCAGGCAGCTGTTGAAAACATAGGGGTGTATGGGGGGTATATAGGATTATAGGCGATAGGGGTAAATGGGAGTATGTAGGATTAAGATTTTAGGGCTACCTTGCATGCCAGTAGACTATGATTGTGGTTAGCTCTTCACCGTTTTAAGATTATAGCAGCCCATAACTTGGGTACCTTGGCTTGCAGGCTTCATTGTCGCGACTTCTACACTTACCCCACTGGAAAACTGTAGTTTTGCATGGCAGGGCCCTAACAGGAGCTTGGTCTTGTCAGTTCTCCTTACTGCTGCCTTGAGTGCCAAGAGCTAAGTTCCATTGCAGATGATTCGCATTCCCGCGGCAGAAACTTGATTAGCATCAAAAAACCTATTTCTATCATCTGGAATTGTACAGCCGTACCTTTTCTATAGCCACGGCTAGCTAGTTGTACTTTAGAGTTTAAACTTCAGGGCTGGATCGAGTCCTTGCTGTCGGATACATATTCCCCCGGATCCTATCAACATTACCTTGGGTGGGGGGAGCTGCAACAGTCCTGCATCATGTTAGTTTACTTCCGGTGGGACTCCCGGGACAGCGAGATGAGCCTACCAGACCCTAAACCCTAAACGCGGTTCAGGGCTCGTAATTAGAACAAGATTCAACATCATCGTTCTCATCATGCGCGTCATGATTATGGTGGCAGTTCTTGTACTTTTGTTGCAGGCAAAAACTCTGTTTGCATGCCTTTTTCACATGTATTCGCCTTTTCAAGATAGAAGGCCCCCAAATCCAGGCCACCCAAAGTGAGTACTCACAAAGGCGCGTGAAGCACAGAACGTGTAAAAACACACCCTAAACCCCATACAATCCAAGCAAAAAGCGCACTGCACCCATTTAGGGCTTATGTTTTAGGGTTGATTGTTCCTATGCGGCCCAACCTGCCTTGATTGAAGAATACTGGGTGCTACTAGGATCCCTTTCTTTAATATAGGTGATGGTCTAGGGTTTACATGATCGCAAACCCAAGAACTTGGAAAACGATAACACGCTCACCAATTGCCAATGACCAGTAGCTCAGACTTCCAATAAACAGCTAAAGACGAAAATCCAAATGCTTCGATGGTCTTGTCTCTAAGGCCCCTGCCCTTACATGCTAGCCCTAAGTGAAACCCTGTAAACCCTAAACCCCAAACCCTAAACCCTAAACCCTGTAAACCCTAAACCCTAAAACCTGTAAACCCTAAACCGTAAAGACCCCCCAAGCTGTCAGGAGCCTTGGTCTCGGGACCTGGAACCTGCAGAGCAAACTGCCAGCACCCTGGGGCGGCATGAGGAGAAGCATACCAGGCTCGGGGTTTAGGGCTTCAGGGTTTACTGGGTTGCTGTTAAGGAACTTAAATTAAGTTACCATAATGGGTATATATAGTAAATAATAGGGTCTCCCCAATATAATAACTTAATTTAAGTTCCTTAACAGCAACCCAGTTTAGGGCTTCAGGGTTTAGGCGACAAGTCTAGGGTTTAGGGTTTGGGGCTTAAGGTTTAGGGTTTAGGGTTGAGGGCTTAAGCTTGAGGGTTTAGGGTTGAGGAGGTTTCCACAGATTAGGGATTAGGGGCCCCTTTCTTGGAGTTCTGTACAGTGTACATACAGCCCTAATTTGATCATCGCGCAGAACCCCTTCGCAACCTCTTCGCCCGCTTCTCAGCAGCGACGCCCAAGTTTGGCCCTAAACTCCCTACATCCTGGAGAATTCCCATATGAGCCATAGTCTGAATTCCTGGTATGCCCCTTCATACTCCCTATACTAGTCCCCTATATAATCCCTTATATAGCCCCTCTTAAAGGAATGGCCCTTGTGTCCCTTTGGAATCCGCACACCCGTAAGGATGGTAATGGCAGAGCTGGAGATTCTGGCGACCAAGGACTGTATTCTGGGGATCCCCCAAGCTGCGGGGCCCCTAGCAACCCTGTAGATATTGGTGGGGTTAAGAAGGGGCTCCTGCTGAGGATCTATCTATATGCGGGGCTCATTATATGTATGAAAACTGCCACAAGGGGCTGTGGATTTCAGCTGGGTCATGGGGGCTCCCTACTACTAAGGATAGATTGTCGTCTTCATAAACCATCAGGATTTGTTTCTTACCTCGCACCTTAGCAATCAGGAGGAGAGGTCCCACCAGGCAGCATTTGCAGCATCGGCCTTTTTGGCCACCATGGGGCTGGACCTGCCTCTTGATCCCGGAGACACGGTGAAACCTTTGCCTGCAAAAGTGCAGACATATTCAGGCCTGCAGGAAGCAAAGGAGCAGGTTGCTGAGTTCGTTTCGCAAACAGAGACGGAGATACTGGGTTGCTGTTAAGGA